AAAGTCACTTTTGAGATGCTAGGAGAGAAAATATTACATGTAAATTATAATTATAAATGTAATGAAGGTTTGAAGTAAGGCATATTTCTCAGAGCTACTTGCTAGACTGACATCTCAATCCTGTGCTGAAGACTAGGCATCCAGAATGACCTAACAGAGCTTTTGAGCACATCCAGTTTTTCAAGTCTGCTGAAACTTAGATTCTTCATTTGGGGCTTGGAAGTCTACAGTTTAGGTTCAGCATTTCCTGATCAGTGCTGCCTGGTCAGTGTGATCTGTGGCCTTTCTCCTTTAGATTTGCAGCTTTACGGAACCAGCAGACTGCTGATACTCCTTCAGTTTGTGTTTTGAAAACCAGAATAAACATGAAATGCCATCATTGTACAAAGCCCTAAGCATCCCCCCTGATCCATCACTAACACAGATGTGCCATGGCAGCAGCATTTTCCCCAGACAAATTAGCCATAAACACAGCTATTTCCACAGCCTGCAGCCCAATCAAGATGAAAGTGAGGTCTGAAATCCTCCTACTTTTCCAACTGTCATGCCAATCAACCCACTTGCTGACATCTTGAAAACAGCATGAGAGGGAATAAATGTGGGGTAGCTCCAGTGACATACCAGGAATTGTGTCATGGGTAAATTTGATGCCTTCCATCCCTAGTTACAAATGCTGAGACAGGAAAAAACCTGGAATGCTTGAAAAAAAAAAAAAATCAGTATTAGCTAAAAATAGTCTCCAGGCTTGATTACAGTGATTACAGTGATAACACGTGGAATTACTAGAATTGACGAGGAGTGGACTTCTGCTCTTTTTAGCTGTTATTCTGCTAATGTTCTACATTGGAGTATAACTAGGCATACTGTGATGGCTTCAAACCTGAGAAGTATAAACACCAAAAAACTGATCTTAGCTGAGCATTTTCCTGTTGGTCACTCTTCATCAATAACTGAAGTATTGCAATAGCTTTCCATGCAGAGTAGTAGCTAGTTTTGGAATTATAGGTCTCCTTAACATCCATATAAGATATGGGACACTGTTTAAATGCTGGTGTAATTGTGTATTTGTATTCCTCAAAGGCAAATTTCAGACATAGGACTCCTTTTATTCCAGATTAACATATGTTCTTCCCTTTGCATGGACATTCCAGCTGCTCATCTCAGGGCAGCTCCCTGAGGTGGATGTTCAGTGAGGAGGACTGAGTTCATGATTAAGGAGCAATAGGTACTACAGTTCTCCACAGGAGTCAAAGGGTTTGCTTTGGTGTGCAAGGCAGAGGGGGCTGCTGTAGCTGAAAGCAGAGCTACTCTTTTCCACTCGGTACAGCTTCCCTTCAGCCTCAGTAGGGTTGAGGAGGTCTCAAAAGGAACTGGCAAATGAAAGCCACTGTTATTGCTTCAGAATTGCAGCTATAAGATGGTCCTTCTATGGCATGCTGTTCTTCTTAATTCCCTGTCAGAGACAGCAGTCAAACGTGCCTTATTTCACTGCATACTTCTTTTTAGCAATCTTGGCCTAACTGGGGATTTTGCACTTGATAGTCTGAAGGGACTCTGGGTTGGGAACCCTGTAGTTCAGGAGGGATTGGTTTGTGGTGGTCTGTATTTCAAGTGTAACATCCAAATTCCAGCACCACAGTGTGGGGCTGGGTTACAGTCCTATCAGGACTGTGAAAAAGCTAGCAAAGGCTGGTGGGGCTGGAACTACCAGAGCCCTTTGGTGCAATCCTCAGCCAGCCTTGTTCTGCTGGCAACAACTCACACTCCAAAGAGCCATTACTATCACCTGCCTTTCAGTAGCTCCTGCAGCACCCCTCACCTTCAGCTCCTACCCTTTCAGAGCTTTAGACTAGGATGGGGAAGAAAACACAAAACAGATTCCAGCACAGCCCTAAAGGTCCATTGGGATCAAGTTCACCAGCATGAGAATCATTTGTAGGTGGTTTTGGAATGTACCACGTGATAACTGCCTTTCTTTAAACCAGTGCCCTGCTAGAGCAGAAGTCACTCCAAAAAAAGGTCTAGTCTGAAGGATGGTGCCTCCCACAAAACATCAATTCTCTGACTCTATCCTGTGGTTTGGGTAATGGATGTGGACTTGAAAATTTAAGATTGTGTCATGGCCAAGAAGGCTAGCAATTATCCAGTTCCAAAACTGTTTGAGCTATAAAAGGATTAACAAAGTTTTTAAAATCATAATTATGATCTATTCTGCAAATTGCTCTTAAAGCTTCCTTAATTCCCTTTCTGTTCTCTCTTTTTAACTTTCTTTTCTTTCCTTTGTGGTTTAGGAGCAATTTGCTCCTACACTGAAGTGTAAATGTCTGCCTATGACAGAGGGAAACTGCTGATCTGGCACATAGATTTCAGCAGTGGATGATTTTGATTCACTAGAGCTTGGAGCAATGATGACAGATGTTAGCTACTGCAACAGAGACACTGCATAAAACTGCTCTGAAGCGGCCATACACTTGCTAATCAAGTCACAGTGAAAGTGCTAAACTTCTCACCCCCGAAGTGTATCAGGTTTGGTGCTAGACTTCTAATTGAATCGCCAACTGACATTTTTTGCATTCTCTTGGGCCTTTAAGATAATAATAATAAATAATGGCCAGTCTCTTCGCGAACGAAGAACCGGGGAAGGTCTTTCCACCTTCCAGCCTGCGCATTGGATTTTTTAGGTGAGACACAGTGTGCGCGGAACTGAGCCCACCCTTTAATCCTGAGGTTCATCTGCCGGGGCCAAGCACGCTTGGACCCTGGCAGCGAGGTCCTCAGGACGTAGATGGATTGCCTTACAGGGCTAGCGAGCTCCATCTGCCCGGGGAGTGTCCTAACCGGGATTCGAACCCAGATCTCAGCGTTGATAACGCTGTGGTTTAGCCACTGCACCACCAGGGACACTCTAAGATACTGCGAGGTAAAAAGACTTTGCGGATTCCTTCTGGAAGGGAAAAGAGACAGTGAATATGTCTGTCTTGCATGGCTATGATCACCAGCAAGGCTAGGCAATCCTTATCTCTGATAGACAGAGGCATCACACTCGTACCCAATGGTTATCAAAATTCTAAGTGTACTTGCCAACAAAAGGTACTACAGTGTACTGAACTATTATCATACTTTTGGTTCTAGGATATCTGGAGTATCAGCCACCCAAGTCTCCTGCCCTGCTTTGCATTGTTCTACTTCTTCCCTCCAGAGCTCTGGTCCCAGTGTACTTTCTGCTCCAGCAGAGGAAAGCAGTGTTTCCAAAGCGCAGTGCCAGGGAGAAGGTCCAATGCCCTAGAGTACAGAGAGGTAACACCACCAGTTCTGCCCTTGCCAAAAAGTCACAGCTCAGTAGCATCATTGCACATGGTAATGCCTCAGCAGCTAAGAGCAGGTTCTCTGCATTGCTGGGGTTCTCCAGCACCACAGGTTTCCCCTGGATCAAATGTGGGCACATAATCATGTTACTATCAAATTAGCCAAGGCACAGGATGATGTTTGTGTCAGATTTATGCTCTTATGTTGGCTTTATGCTGGCACTGGGAGGAGTGACGGTATCTGACCTGGCAAAAAGTGTGAGTTGTACAAGCACTGATACCTCACCTGGCATAAAACCTGTCAGTACAAAATTAAGTCATCACTTTTCTTTATTTGAATTGGCAGTGTGAGTTCATTCTGGATCAGCACTTTCATCATGTGTCTGGCAACATTTCTGACAGAGTATTAAGAACCCTAAAGCAGGATTTACTGAGTTGTGGGACCACAAACTTATTGTTTGAGCTTACTCTGATAAAAAGGCAGAGAGCTACTGGGCGGCAGTTTTTACCAGGTTTCAGAACGCTCCTACCCAGAGCAGTTTTCTACTTAGGAACAACTTCCTCCTTTATGAAAACACCCTCAAAATTCCTATGTAACTAATAAGCCCCACCCCAACACAGAAAAATCCACGGATTAAAGGATCATATGTAACTTTTGACACACTGCTCCAAATGAAACCTTTTGTGTTAATGGAAAAAAGAATCCTTTTGTGGTATAAAAAGTCAACAAAGCATAAATCACTATTTTGTTTGTTCTGTTGCTAGACATGCTGAACAAGAAACCACCGCCAGACCTGTGAAATTCTTCCATTAATCCTACTGGGGTGATTATGTCCAATACTCTTGGAAACACGAAAAAATGTTTAAACATATTTCTCTGACTAAAGCATAGTATTTTCCTAGTTACAGTAAGCGCTAGCTAGAATACTTGACTTAAATCACTTTACATAACTTTTACTGTTCTTATTTTCCAAAAGTTATTTGAAATTGGAGTGGTTTAAAAACATAACACAGCTTTCAAAGAATAGAAGACATTGGGTAAAAGTTTAGTCTTTCAGTATTTCTATTTGCTAATGAATCCTTGGAGTAAACAAGCACTCTTTTACCCAGTTTCTACAAAGCACTTGCCTTTTGTTTCAGACCCAGTACAGGCAGCTGAATGAGGTAATGCCTATATCTCCTAGGCCAGGAATGTATTCAGATTGGGCACTGAAATAGGATAGAAGGATAATACCTGCTATTTTGTAAATGCAGGGTGAACTTCAGCTCAGCTTCCAGATTGCTGTGCTCAGAGGAAAGAACTAGGACTGCTTATCTGAACACAAAAAATTAACTTCTTAGATATTGACACAAAGCTTCACATCAGTGCCTTCAAATGCATTCAAAACACATTACATATACATAAACACATGTTTTAAATTGAGTGTCTTGTGAAAAAATTGCATCAATTTAAGTGAGTCACTTAAACACTACTGTGTCTTCACTAAAAATGCTGCTTTCAAATTCTCTCATTTAGAAGCAGGTGTTTTAACCTCAGGTTTCCTGAGGAAGAATGTGAATAGATCCTGGTTCTGACTGAGCTACAGAGATCCTCTGTAAACATAAATGAACGCTTCTGCACAGTGATTATAAAAACACAGATCTGTTTCACCAAAAAAAGCTCTTCTGCATTCCTGACATGACATTAGAGATCAGAATAATCTTCTTTAGATATCAAAGTCAGACAAGCACAACCTTCAGAAGTACATTAAATAGTATTTATTAAGTTTGCAATGTCAGAGGAAAAGCTGTAATTTCAGTCCCAGCTATTCACATACTGTGACATGGAGCACTCATGTTCTTTCATCCATTCAACAAATGAACAATAACATGGAACATAAAGAGGGGGGTTGAAAAAAACAACCCTATACTCTCAGTTTTGAAAAAAAGGAAACAAACTGAAATCCTATTCTCATTCACAAATACACTTGTCTTCTTGATTAAACATACTATCTTTTTATGGAAGAACAGACTCATCCTCCTCATGTTTGGGAGAAGGTATGGGATGGTTGATCTGAAAGAAAGCAGAACTATGTCGAATACAGAGCTTTTCCATAAGACCACGACAGCTAGATGGTTAATGCAAACTTCAGACTGCAAAGAATTCCTCAGAAGAGGTAAGTACACTTTCCCCTTAAGAAGCCTTTGTGTCTGGGACCGATTCAGTGGGTGCATATGGTTAACAAATCACCAAGGTTTGCCTATAAAATCTTATGGCAGATGATGTTTTTATTTTCACCATGGTGACCCTTCTGGATAGTAAAAAAAGGTATCACATAATATACACAGAGATTCATATTTACAGAATAAATGGCTAAAGAGGGAACTGGATACAGTGACATTAATGTCTAGTCATTAATGAAATCCCTCATGTAGATTCAGGGATTGTTCATAGTTCCTTTAAGCAAGTCCTTTTCTTTGCACATGGGTTCTCTTGTTTTGCAAATGAGACCCAGGAGGATATCTCACCCTAAGAAACAGATGCTTGCTCTGCCTTAAACCATGGTCATGACTTTCAGAGACGCAGGTTGGAATCTCCTTATCTTCTTCTTTAATGCCTTTGAAGCTTTGATACGACAGATTTTGGGCACAGGGGGAAGAGGCTTGGAAGATGCCTGGACAGTCCCCGATTGTCTGACTGAACCTTCGGGCCAAATCAGTTCACTTTCATCCCCCTCATCGTAGTCAAGGGCAAGACTGCTACTGTTACTGCTGCCATCCGAATCACTTTCACTGGACTCACTGTCCCCAAAACGGTTAGTCGTGAAATCGCTGACCTCCCCTTCGCTGGTCTCTGCGATTGTGGAGTGAAAGAGGGAAGCACAGTCTGCAGAGTACTCGGAGTGGTCTGACTCGCTTTTGGCATAATCTCCGTGGCGCTGATTCTTGGAGTGAGCCCTCACACTGACAGTGCGCAGGACACCGGCTCTCCTTGCTGGCTGCCTTGACGCTCCCAGGCCAAAGCTATGAGACAGGCTGGCCAGGTTGGCCTTGGCAGAGATCTCCACTGTGGACTGCCACTTGCGCTGCTTCTTCTTGTTGGCTGTGTCTACACAAGCTGCTTCCAGGGAATGCAGTGCATTGGCAGAGGCTCCGTAGAGCTCTGGCCTGGATGACACGGTGGGGAGCCTGACTTGCACAGGGAACAGACTGGACTCCGAGCACGACCTGCCAGTCACGTCACAAGAATACGAAGGTCTCTGCAAGAGATTCTTCACTCCTTGTGACCTTTGGGGCTGATTCCACTCAGCAGGAAGCCTAGTGGCTCCATGGGACCCTCTTGCTTTCTCCAAGCATGAGGTTTGCTTCCCAGGCCGTTGTACCTTTTCACTGTTCCTCCTCTTTATCTTCACTGCCTTTGTTTTGGAGCTGGCAAACTTTACTCGGACTTGGTGGGATTCTGCAGGGACAAACTGAGCATGAACAAACTCAGTTCCTGCCACTCGCTCATGACCCCCAGTGCTAGTTGATTTGGCACTGCCACATCTTTTGAGGGGCAGCTTTCTGGGTGGGACAGCTTTAGCATTCCAGGCGTCTGGGCTGGAGTCCTCCTGGCACAGCTGTGAGTAGGATGAACTGTGCTCTGTGCTGCTATCCATTGCTTCTGCCAGGGGAGAACCCCTTGCTGCTGATTTGGCAGCATAACAACTATTCACAGCTGATGGCTCTGTGTCAGGCCAAGTGGATGGCTGTTCTTCATTCACACAGTGCATGGTCTCCTGCTGCTTGGCACATTCCCCCTCTGACACCTCTCTTGACAGCTTCCCTTCAGCTTTGTTACTTTCCAGAGAACTTGCCTGTTTTTCCAGCTGGCTACTGCTGCTGTTAATTTTCACTCCACCGGCGCTGGGGGTTATAATGAGTCTCTGGTGCATTGCGGCTGGCTGGCTCTTTGTTGGAACCCACTCACTGGCATCAGCCCGACTGTTCCCTTTGCATCTCGTCAGCTGCAGTAATTTATTGATGTAACCCCCTGGCTTGGCCTCAGTGGTTGGCCTAGTCCTAATCAAGCTGGGACCTGTCACACTAGGCAGAGGTTTGCTGGGAGGAGCCTGGAAGTCCGATTCTGGGGATGTGCCCACCAGGGAGAAAAGAGGACTTTGTAAAGCCACCGCATGAAGGGGGCTTGGGTAAGGATACACATCAATGCCATTCTTGGAGACCAAGTCATTCTGGAATTTGGGGTCCATGCTGAGCAAGTGCATGTCTCCGTTATGGCACAGAGGCAAGACGGATTTGGGATAAGTCTCTTTCTGAAATCTAGCGTCTGCTGGAGTGAGTCTTTCCAAGTCACCTACACAGTGGATGAAAATAAACAACCTAATTAAATCACAGACAATTACATTCAAACTGGCTCATGCTAAAAGTGCTATCTCAGAGGGATGTGATGGCTTTCATTAAAATCAGTAACATGAATAAAGAAAGTAATTTCAGCCTTCCAAGGTCACTGAATTACTTTAAAGCTTTTATTCACCTAAGCATAACAGAGATTAGAATGTCTTTTCATGCCAATAATAAAATTCTCACCTTTGCAAGAAATTTAAATTGTGCTACTTGGATGAAAGTAAATCTGTGCATATATAAAAATGTTCTAAAATGTCACACACTAATGGGAACCCAACTAAACAAAAATAAGGGATTACATTTATTTCTTAGCAGAGAAGCCATAGAAGAATGAACTAAAGAACCTTTACTTTGACAGAGGAAAAAAAATCCAAGGGTAACTACTCAGGCAGGTGGTAAGAGCAGTCCCTAAAGATGACATGTATGGCCACCAATTCAGATCTCTTCAATTTTGCAGTACTGTCAAGATTGCTGTAAGTTAGTCTTGACTGCTGCACCTTTCTCTCAGAAGCATCCCCTATGCACAGAGAGGAAAGGATGTGTTCTTGTGTGAAGAAAGGTTATTCCATCCAGACACGTCATCCAATAGAGCATTATGATGCTGTGTTACCTCTGGGACTAAGAATACTAGAATCAGTTAGCTTGGATTTTTCTGTCAAGTGCCAACAAATCCTCACCTAACAACCTTTCTGGCTGCTTCAAGCTAACACAAAACCCAATATAATTCCCAAACAGTGGCTATTTCTGTACCATGACAGGAAGCTTCTGAAAGACTCCAAAATTTGGGGCTGCCTGCAGTGTCCTACCTAAGGCACTCACAGGCCTGCTACAGCAAAGATTAGGAAGATGGTTTCTCAAACAACTGCATAATGAAAATTCTTTAGGAAATTGATGGCAGCATATAATAATGCTCTCTCATGCAAACAAACAAGGAAGCTGTCAAAAGAAAGCTGTGCTTGTGGTGTCTCAGCAAGCCTTCTACTTGCCACTGAAAGAAATGGCAGTTGGTTTGTGCCTGCAGTTACCTCTGGGTAAAAGCTAAGGAGTGGGAAAGAGAAATTTCTTTCCCTCTCCAACTGATGCTTTACTGAAGTAACATCTTGCTTAATTTCTTGCAGTGTGGTCAACTTCATAAGAATTGTTTCTTCAAGACTACACCCACTACTACCCCACTACTTATGTTTCTCATACAGAAGGAAGTAAGAGTTTGTAGCCAGGAAGAAGGGAGATGCTGCTGGAAAAAGAACGGAGGTCTGAAGGAGGTTGGTAGCCTCTCTCCCACAGCCCTCAATATCAGCTGTTCCTTTTTTTGCTGGTCTATCTCTAGATCCAAAAAACCATAAAGCCTCCGGGGTCTCAGCAAAATGTTGCAAAGCAGGAAAGTTTCTGATTGAGCAAAAGATCTGTAATCTGAACAAGGAAGTCATGGATCATTAAGCTCAGCTTCATCCCCAGCCTTTGACAAGCCTTGAAAAGACTTTACTTTTATGCTATAATTTACCGCCATCTCTTCAGGTGTGTCTGCACACATAGGTATCGAACAGGTCTTTGTTTCTGTTCCAAGCAAGCTAGAGGTGAGTTAGCTCACGTCAAATAGTTGTGGGAATGATTCCAGAGTGACATGGTACTTGGAATGATGTTCCCTACTGCTTCTCTGTTTCTATAATGGAACTGACACACATCTCACTGGATCACTATTAGAACTGTACTAACAAAAGATTGCTTAGAGGCCATGGAAGAATCCATAATAAGAAGGGATATGATGTCACTTTGCAGATAGTAAACAAGAGATTTGGAATGTCAGTGGACTTGCACATTTTGTCTAAAGGTATAATGCAAACTCATGGTTGATCCACTATAAGGCCATGACTGGTTTCTAGATAGTCAATTAACTTTTGGCCTCTGTTGTCCCTAACTGTACATAACAAATTATGAGAAAGAGTTATTGTTTGAGTCGACATTAATTTGAATAAATAGGGAATTTTGAGTTCACTTTACATCTTTCATACATTCCTCTACCTTCACACAAGATACTTCAAATATTGAAAATTTTCTGATTTCACGTGCAGCTCAATTAAAAAAAGTATCTCAACATTCATTACCATTTTATCTCATACACTAAAGTATTTTTCCATTTCTAAATGCAGAGACCTCACATTTGTTATTGTTTCATCCACATATTTGTTACTGTTTCATCCTTGTATTTGATATCGTTTAAAAATATCTGAGTATGGAGACAAGTGAAACTTGGACAGTAAACATTTTGGCCATGTTTTTCATCAGTTCTCTCTTTGTGTGTTGAAAAGGAGAGCTATATATTGATTAAACATTGGTATTCAAGGTCCTAAAAGTAATAACCAGGAATATGCTCTTCCCTTGAATGAAATATCCAGTTCTGACATCAATTACCTGTAGAAACTGGCCTTGGTCTGGACCTGGCAGGAGCTGCAGAAACATCTCTGCTAGCTGTAATCCGACATCCATCGCTGACATAGGTTCCCTGCTGTTGGAAGCTGGTGGTGTGCACAGTGGTTTCATCTGCAGACTTGGGTCGGTAATCAAACACACTGAGCCTCGCCTTAGGGTGTTGAGAGCTGGGCAAGAGACTGGTGTGGGAGGAAGAGATGGATTCACTGTACACAGAGGTACAAGAATTGGATAGTGAGCAAGAACCACCGTCGCTCAGGTCATAGAATCCTGCAGAGTTAAAATAAATAGGATATTTCATACTTCCAGCAACTAAACATGCTCTGTACAAGAAAAATGCAGAGAATACAATAAATCTTCATTTGCTATGTGCCACAAGCCTAAATTTATGATAATTTATTTAGGTAACATTAGCACAGGTATACTCTAATTCAACCAAACTTTACTGGGCTTCTGCACATTTACTTAGGCCCTGAGCCAGCTTGGCACACACACGCCTGCTTAGTTCTGAGGGTGGGATGGGGTGAAGTACAGCAACATCACGCCCAGTTCTTCATTGGAGAATGTCTTTGGGGACTATTATGCAACTGGTGTAAAACAGGGCCTTCTTCCACTGTTGTAACTTGTGCTGGGTGAATAGAAACACAGACTGGATGGGAAAGTAGAGTAAAACTAGCCTGTGATCACAGCTGCCAAGCCTATGATAGCTGGAATGTCTAAGAGCAGAGAATGGAGGCTATCTTCCCCCTCCAGGTCTTGAGATCATTGCCAAGTAATTATGGAAGTATTAAAAAAGGCTCTGTATAAATTCAAGACAGAGATTTTTATTATTCCTCTCTATAGCAGAAACAGAACAGTTCCTTTTGAACTATGTGCATGTGCCTAAGTGCACAACTCCTGAACTTAAATGCTCAACAGAAACTTGCACTTTTTATGCCTCCTCTAAGTACTAGGCTGCAAATGCGTATACTGTATAAAAAGAAAATAAATCTTTCCTTGTCTCACTGAAGACCTGAGGATTTGCAAAATTCTGTTTATAAAGAACTACTTTCATTGTCTCAGACTAGGTAACAGAAACTGGTTTTAACAGACACCCTAGCTATAAAAGTCTGCAGTACAACTCTGTGAACCACACCAGTAACCTGATACCTAGTATTTTTCTGTCCATGAGATCTTTACTCAGCAAACTTTTGGGGTGATTTTTCTCAGTGTCCTTTAATAGAGCTGTTTTGTTTCTACAGATATGATCAAACATTCCTTGGGCTGGAGCACTCCAGTACTAGTGATCTTCAAAGCCTTAGTGAGGCTCAGAATCTTCCTGGACTCAAGCAGACCATTGATATGGATGCTGGTCTCCTTCACTTCTTTTAAGTACTCTAGCCACTTTGCCAATGGTCATCATACATTGGAGAGTTAATTTAGGTGATTAATAACTAAGGTATATAATATAAGGTAATAAATAATTAAGGTAACTAATAAGTACATGTCTCCCCCTCCTTCCATGTGTGGCTACAAGGTCCATTTTAAAATAAAATTTAAAACATCCAGAAAAAATACTGTTTGAGGGAATGAATTCTTTCCAACTAAATCAGCTTCTCAGCAGAATTTCTATCAGCTCTGTGAGTCCGCTCTATGCCAGATGACTACTCTCCACCTCAGCCATGGGGCACTGTTTCTGACCAAACAATACAGGGAGTTTTGCTCAGCAGTTGACACTCTTCAGTTCTCCCAGCACCACCCCCGTAAAATAAATAGCCAAGTGCACATTACCTGAGCTGGGCCGGCTGTCACTATCCAAGTATTCACTGGAGGTCTTACTGACATCCAATTTCAGCTCACTTATTCGCTGGTCTAGCTGATCCAGGTGGCTTTTCAAGCCAACATCCTGTCTCCTCAAACGAGACTAAATCACAAGTCGAGGGAAGAAGGAGGAAATGAAGAATAATCACAGTTAGAATCTCAGCAACAATGCATGAATTCAGGCCACCTGTGCCAGCCAGATTCTGCTCTCATTAAGTGTTTATCTTAGTTAGGGACTGTTGCAATTGGCTCTCTGTAATGACACTGACATAGGACAAGGACAAAACATTTTGTTTCTCAGTATATATTGTCTTCTGCCCAGCTGAACATGTTCTCAAATTTTAACCTTTAGGTTTATTGTTACACCTGTAGCAGGAACTGTATCTCTAAAGAGAATGCAATCTTTTAACTAATTAACGTTTTCTTGTATGTACTGCACTCTGCCTCTGAGCAGAGGAGAGATAAACGTTATGGATTGTCTGCCTGATGAAAGGAAACTGCTTTATGTAGAGGTACCTTATTGCCACACAAAGTTAAGGCAGCATACTCAATGCAATAAAACCCTTGGCTTTGATGGCATGTTTATAGTTGAAAGGATACACTGCAAGAATTGTGACATCTATTCTGCTGCAAGTTTTCCTTGCATGTCTTGTGGCTAGATATTTCCACCCATATTATGAAAGAAACAGCTAGCATTTGAGTACTGATGAAAAAATTACTGTATATAAAATAAAAGTTGTCTCAAGTTTGTCAACAATCTTTCAGAAGCCAGCAACAATGTCTGTTGTGTACTGCAAGCTCTGACCAGGCTGATCTGAGGTAACAGCTCCCGCAGTTGCTCCCCCAGTATTTATGCCTTCAGCTTGGGGAGGCAGATGGCCAGGCGTTAGGTACCAGTCAAAGACCTACAGTTGGTTTCTGTAACAAACTTCTCATATAGCACTTGGCAAATTATCTAAAGCCCAGTCACTATTTAGGCAGCTTCTAATTATATCTCACCTCACCACGCATCCTACAATACTTTACAGAAAAGTGGTCTCTTGAAGCTGGTTGAAAAGTTGTGCTTAAAGCCCTTGAGGGTATGGGTTTCCACTCAGTAATTGTAAGAAAAACATGATTAAGCTTATTTTTTATGTGTACAGTTCACATTTAAAAAATACAAGTCGCAGTTCTAGCAGCATTTCCAACCTCAAATATGAAAAACAAAAAATCTAGGTCTCTTGAACCAATAAAGTACCTGCAAAATTAAATGATGTGCAGAAAATCAAAATCAGTACGTACACATTTTCTACTTCACTCTTCACTTTCCTTTTGTATGGATTATACAGCTTTTAATATTTGCATTTTTAGGTTTCTCCATAGCTATAAATACTAAAAGAAAAGGAAGCTCCTAAGATCCTAAAGTGATCAGTAAATTATTAGAAACTGTGATGGAAGTAAAACAGAAAAAATGGACAGAAGACAGATGTCCCAAATTTCACAAAACAACTGTCAGGGCTGGTGATGCTCCTGAGAAGAAAAAAAAAAAAAAAAAAAAAGAAGAAAGAAAAAAAAAGTATTCTAGCATGTTTTTACAGGGAATTGAAGGAACATATAAGACGTAAGAAATAAAGCCCCATTTTGTTAGTGTCACACTTCTAGAAAGGTTAAGCTCAAGTGGCTCATCACTGCTTCCTAGGAAAACCCATGGTGATTTTTCCTTTTCCTGTTTCATATAACCAAAAAGGAAGAGAAGAACTGGATAATAAAGCAGATTTTCTATCCCATCTGAATGATGAATGTATGACCTTGTCAGTACTTCTTTATTTCCTGGCAAAAAAGCAAAACCATGCCAGGCCTTCTTCAATCCCACCTACTCAGGAAATCACAAAGTTTTGTTTTCATGGCTGGAATTAATTGCTTAATGATTAATGTTTTGCCAGCCAATCCCTCAGTCTGTGGTTTCTGATTAATGACAGAGAGGCCACAAGGCTCTCAGGTATTCAAACATTATTTATTATACCTCCAGGTTCTGTCTGCGCTTTCACAGCATTTTAACCAACACACATGATTTACATCATCGTTTTTAACCCCTTTATGGTGTCTCACACCACTGGGTTTCCAGCAGACTCCATAGCTTTGATCTTTCAGTTAACTACTTCTGCACTCAGGGAGGAGAAGCATTCCTCTAACCATTTGGATAAGAATGACTTTTCCGGTGTGTTTGTTTGAGGCTGTTATTGCTCCAATACCCACACTAAGCAGCACTCAAAACCACACTCTTTCTCAACTCACAACATGAATTTTACAAGTGACAAAACCTTGCAGGTAAAACCATCTGTTTGCTTAGGGCAATGCAGCTGTGAAGACTTTTGTGCACTGCACAGCATGGGACCAAAGTTTCCAAATCAACTTGTACTCTGAATGGACTACAGTTTTGCGGAGCCAAATCTGGCATATCACCATACCACTCATTTTTCAGAAGAAAGAACACTTTCTGAAGAGCAGGTTCCTTTACAGCAACACAAGCTGACACCCCAAATTTAGGCACCAAAACCCACTGGTCATACTTGACTATTCTCAACTATTAATTTGTTCACTTACAGGGGGGGAGGTTGACATTTATTGGCTGTAGATTAGCACCCAGTAATTCTATTAATCTGACTGTATTTTGGAATGCACAAAAGATAGCATTCTTAGTTTTGCCCATCTAAAAGACCTTTGGGTCTTTTTGTAACTGATGGTGCAAAACAGCCAGTTTCAGAGGAAAATTAGTATCGCCTATCCTAGACCCTTATTCTAGAGTGAGATGAATTCCTTCTGGAAGCACCTCTTTCTCTCAAGCTGACAAAACTTGAAGTTAGTTTATTAAAAAAAAAAAGATGAAATCTCTTGTTTAAAAGATGTCTTCTCTATTTAAAATTATCTAGAGGGGAAAAAAAATCAGTGTAAAATGCAGGGTACGAAGTGTTTGTTTTTTTCTCTTCAGTATAATGTGTCCCTTCTCACATTTTTACAACACCATAAATCATCTGAGAGCTTGCAAAAACAAAATCATCAGATTCCAATCAAATAATAAAAGGTTTATAAACATGTCCTCTGAGAAAAGAGTTGAGAAAATACTGGCTATTGTAGTCTTTGATATCCACCTACTTGGACAGTGGTCATAGATTTATTTCTTTGCATTAGTCTGAATTTGAATCTCTTTTTTTTCCTCTGTATCACCATGATACTGTTTGACTAAGAGAAGTTTAATAGCTTTGGGATCTCTGATAGTGAACAGCATCACTTAACTCTGCTCCTCTTCTACTACAGAGTTGACCCTGCTGGCACTGTAGTAATTTGCAGCTGCCAGAAGAGACCCTGGCCACCAAAAAGAGCCACTTGCTGGGGCAACAAAGGACGTGACTATTAGGGGCAGCAGACTGCCTACATCAGAGTGTAGGCCGTTAGAATGTAGGGCAGCTGCTGCCTGTCTCTGGAAAATGCTGCTGAGGAAAAGATTGGGACTCTAGAATTGCATCTACACCTGGTCCTCATGGCACTTGATGGCTTTGTTCCACTCATTTCCACTACTGGGACTTGAGTCCTAGAGGGTACTGACTCTGCTCTTCTGTTTCTTACCCTACCATTATAGGAGAAGCCTGGCTTGACTTTTTATCTGCCTTCTTTCCATCACTGAGATGCCCTGAGCCGGCTCCACCTAACACAGCTTCCCCATTTTATGTTGCAAGGACCAAACTTTTAATGAATTAAACCATGATCATGCTAAAGCCCAGAGCTACAGCCCTCCTTGAAATTTGGATCAAGATACACTGCACTGGCAAAGCTACATTTACATTGTTAATGAGTTTCTCAGTCTGAAAGCTTACAGAGGAGCAATCATATACTATCATCCATGGGCCATCAACAACAATGAAGACATACCGCCCCTTGAGCAATGCTGTGCTTTGCATTTTCTGTTGTTTTTAGTTATAATCCAATTTCCTGCGATCATGAATGGAATTTTCATGGGTTTTGAGTGCAATACACTGCTTATGAGTCACCAAGAAAGTTTTGAGCCTGTGGCCACTGAGATCCTAGGACCTGTGAACTACTTCTAATGGGCCTGTTTTCAACTGGGTGTACTTTCTTATTAGGCAACTTTGAGGTATGCACCTCTACTCAAATATGTATCTGAAGTTTGCAGGGGGAAAAACCAATAAAGGTAACAGGTACTCCTGAACAGTAAGTCTGAAAAGCTTCCAGAGCTATAGGTCAATCAGAAGAGCTTTGTATCACTACTTTAAGCATTCACACAATTGCATTTTTGCTGAAGAACCTATCTCTGAATTTATGTAGTCATCCCTCTCAAGCTTTATGAACACTTCCCTTCTACACACCCCAAGAGACACGTTTCCCATAATTGCACTGGCACCTACTGGTGAAATCCATCCCTCTCCAGAGGCATACAGAGTTACTCTTGTCCACCCGGCTCCCTTCTAAGAGAAGCAATTAAAGGCTGTTTTTTCCTTCTATATTAACGGCTAGTTTCTCCCATATGCTTGGAAAGCTTTGTGAGGTGGCAGTAAGGTCTTGAAAAGCCAACCTTCTGTTTTAATATTTTATTTGAAAAATATATAAACAAATGAGTAATGAAAGCACAACAGCTGAAATGAAAAAAATACAATCACTACAGTCAGAGGTCATTGGCTGATTCTGTTACCCCAGTAGCCCCAGACAGGCAATAAATGCCTTGAATTCTTTTGTTTAGTCAAAAAAAAAAAAAAAAATGTAGAGCTATTACTTAAAATTATCTATCAATGACAGGTACTCCAGTGGCTGACCGTCCACTTGTACTGTGTCTTCTTAATCAAGATATGCCTGCTGCTGTTTTCACAGAGTGGTGGCTAGAGTTCCCTGAAGGTTAAAGCCAGTTTTATTCTGAGATGCTTCCTGATAAAGCTGCCTATGGGGAGCGAATAACCATGCTGTTTTCACACCTGATTGATAACTGATGGCCGAGTCTTGCACCGGTATAGGGAAGGAAAAAATTCTGAATTAAGTCTGAGTTTACTGAAGTGTGTAATTGCCCACACTAGAGATTAACGCCCTTTTACCCTTTGATTGTTGGCTCACCTATGAAACTCGTTTCAGCTTCAATTGAGGGTTTTTTTTCAGTTTCACAAAAAAAGCTGCGCAAGCTGCCAGTGTAACACTTTAAATACAAGGCCTGGCATTCAGTTATTCTTCCCTTTTGATCACGCAACGCGTGGAAAGAACAAAGTGCTCCTGGCTCATGAAGCCTTTCCTGGCAGATCGACTCCCACGGGCGCACACCCGCGCGGGCACACATAGGTGTTCGGGCACACATAGGTGTTCGGGCACACGCCCACCCGAACCCCTGGGCGCTGAGCCCGTGCATGTGTATCTCCCTCCGTCAGCCTTTTGATCTCCTATGCAAACGGCTCCTGCCACTGAGAGCCGAGCGCTGCGCTGCTGAAGTTAATCATCGCCCACTCCTCGGCTCCGGCGAACGAGCAGTGCCGGGTTAACAACTTCTCCCCGGCGCTCCTCCCGGCACGGAGCCCGCTACCAGCGCTGCCCGTTTCGGGCCGCCCAGGTGAGCCCCGCCTGCTACAGCGGGGCTGCTACCGCGACTCGCACCTGCCCGCAGGGGGAGCCGCGGCGGGCGGGGGCAGCGCAGGGTCCGCGACTGCAGCGTCCGCCCGCTCCCGGTCCCGTCACGGCGCCGGCGGCTCCCGAGGCGGGGCCGGGTGTCCGGCAGCGCTCCCCTCCGCTCGCCCGCAGCACCGCGGCTGCACTCACGGAGCCGCGTAGCGGGGCAGCGGCGCGTCCTGTGCTGCACTGTCCCTTACCAGCTGCTCCTTCAGGGCGGAGAGGGTGGCCTCCAGACGGTGCTCCTTGCTGTGGGTGGACAGGGGCTGCTCTTCTCCGCCCGCCGCCGGCCGCTGCGGCATGGCCAGGGCGGCCCGCACCAGCTCCCGCTGCTTCTCCCGCAGCACCTGGAGCTCCTGGAGGCCGGCCAGGGCCGCCTGCAGCCTCTCGCCCACCCGGCCGCGATCCCAGCCGCCCGGCCGCGGGGCGCCCAGCAGCATCGTCAGCGTTGGGCCGCGGCTCCGGCCATGGCAGTGGGGCAGCGGGGAGGCGGCGGGGCTGCTCCCGCCCCGGGCCGTGCCTGCGGCGGGGTCTGAGCGCCCCGCTGCCGGCACCCGAGCGAGTGAACCGGTGCTGCAGCGGCTCCTGCGGTTTTGGAGAAGAGGTGGGGACAGGGGAGGGAGAGAGGGAGGGCGGGAGCGAAGAGTAGAGGCTGCAGCTCCAGGCAATGCCGGGTCCACCTCTCGGGTGTATATGCGGGAGAGTGCCCAGCGATGCCCCCGCCCCGAGCAGGGGGCGGCTCCCGCCTGCCTCGGTCCTGCCCCTGGCTGGGGGACTGCTCTCGCCTCTTCCCCCTCCCCGGGGGCGAAGCGGGGGGGAGTGGCCGGCCTCTCCGGGCAGAGTCAGGTCCTGGGGGGCTAGCACTCAGTGCTGGAGCGAGAGCTCCGGTCCCGGCCAGCAGCAAGCCCCGGGGATGCTGCGGAGATCGGAGCTGAGCCCAGAGTCGTGCTGCAGCCTTGTGCAAATGGAAATGACGCGAGCGTATGGTGCTGTGAACTCTCAGGTATAACAAGGCTTTCCTCACAAAAACGTGGCGTTTGTAACTCCACCGCTTCCCCTCCTGGCTGGTGGTGCTCCTGGCTAGGCGCAGGCACAGCACTGGCACTCCTTACCTTGCTCTCCAGGAAACGATCCAACTGGGATCTCACTGCACAAGTTCGCTGTCATGTGCTGAATTGTTGATTTCCACTTTGGAAGCAAGGCAGAGTCCTGTCTTGAGGTCAAGGTATGGCTCAGCCCCCTCCCCTGCACCAAGGTAATATGAAGGGCTTAGGATTTGTTTTAAATGGGACGTGAAAACACAACCATAGAAATTCAAGGACACAGTGCTGTTGCTTCCAAGAAATGTCAGCATTTAAAGCTCCCAAGACAGGCAGCTGCAGCTTCTTCAGAGGTAGTTGGTTAGCAGGCAGCAAAACCAGAATGTGTAGCCTGTAGTGATGCAGTGGGAGAGAAGAAGCCCTGATACCAAGAGCCTAATGGTGATCATGCTACAGGAGACTTAATTTTTCTGCTGCCTGCACTGAAATAGGAATCATTTGGATCCTACAGATCCCAGGATAACTGTGAACCACACTCCTGATTTACATAATTTCAGGAAAGGTGTATGATTCTCCGTGAGGCAATAAGCACATGCACAGCCCACCTGTCTGTGGTTATGTTCTGTTCACTCTGTGGCATTTCTTTAAAAGCTACCATACTTGAGTTGAATGTACTTGACTTTGTGCTGGGATACATGAGTTGGGTGAGCGGGAACCAACTGCTCTGTCATCTGTTCTTCAAGGAGCCTCTTCTGAACACCACGTGTGGGTGGCTGTGGCCACCACTGAGCACTGCAGCTAGGCTAACCTTCCCTATAGTAGTCTCTAGCTTTAGGAACGTTAAAAGCACTATAGTCATGTCAAATCCAGCTCTTGGAGGGGGACAGAGAGGCAAATTATTCCTGTGTTTGTTCACCAGGTCCTGTGCTTTATTTGGTAATCTCAGTCGGAGCCTTGCTTTCATAATGTCACTTTCAACAGTTTTCGTGTAGCTTGAAGATTTGAGAATGATGTTTACTTTGCAAAGTTGAGCTATGTCAGAGGGGGTCTAGAGAGGCCTTGTTCTGACATGTTGTGTACAACTATTCATGGTTGTCTCCATCTGCAGATGGACCAGGAATGACTGATGGTCATACAGTGCTTAGTTAAAGTGTGTGAGGTATGGTGAGGTATGACCTGTATGACATCACCTAAGACATGGGTTTTTGTTTGTTTGTTCTGTTTGTTTGTTTGTTTTCTTTAATGAATATATGTCTACTCTTCTTCCTTCCCATTCATCTCATGGAACTTTCTGTGCAGAGCAATGCCTCAGTGTCAGGACAACTGAACTATTCATTTACAAGATGGAAAGAAAAACTGAGTTCAACACCAAGATGCTCTTGAAGGTGCTGACAAAAACCAGCATGAAATTCTACCACCTCTCAGATGGAGGGTGATGAAGAACCAAACAACCGTCACTGTATGGCATGTGGTAAGAATCTTGCAAAATGCCACTGCAGGTATGAGGAGTGAAGCGTTTTTGTAAATCGCTTGGCTTGGCACTTGTTAAAACAGACATACAGCGCAGTTCCTTGTTTTATTCAAACCATGTTCTAACACAACCAAATAAGAGTCACTAACACAACTACCATTTAGTATATACTTGGTAGGAGATAGATATTATAAGGTCATATATTTTTCTTTTTTCCCTCTCTTTCACTTTCAGGGAACTATTATCCATTGCTCTTTGTTCTTCCTCTTCTTTCATCATTTTATCTTTTCATACATTAAATCCCAAATGGGCTGTATCACAGCAGTATCATTATTCTAATCAGCTTCCTTATTGTCCCCTCTGTTGTACTCCTTACTTCCGTAGAACTGTTATGATGTCACTTAATCTTTTCAGATAACTCAACAAATAACCTGTGTTATCTGATTTCTGGGGAAAATAATAAAAGGTGTGAGTCGCCCCCAGATTTAAAACCATGAGATTATGTGGGGGAGGGGTGGTAGTAAAAGTGAAAGTTGCATGGTAGGGATTTAGGAAATTGCTGTTCTTAATGACTTATAGATAAGAATGTTCAATATTGATACTCTGTAAAGTTTCACTAGACTTTAAGAATTACTTAAAAAAAGTGAGCAGTCTATAGGTAGCACCTTATTTTCCTGCCTGGCTTTAGCACACTACATTCAAATGCCTAAACATTGCTTGCACTTTTCAGGAGCTAAAAGGTTTGACTTTTCATTTACGTTACCCTTTTTCCATTAATTTCTAAAACATTGCTCTGGGTTTATGCAAGAATTGGAATAAGATTTCTGTTTTCCTCCTGCAGATCCTGAGGTAAACGAAATTTTACAAAAAAGCTGTATTGAAGGAACAAAATGGTTGCAAAATCAGAAAACAAAACAGTAGAAAATAAACCAATTTGTTTACATAACCTTATTTTATGTTCTGATTTGTGGTATATAATTGCACAGTGTTGTGTCGTGGGTCTGTTCCTCAATACAGGAACAGTGTGGCCAGCAGGAGCAGGGAAGTGGTTCTTCCCCTGTACTCAGCACTGGTGAGGCCACACCTGGTGTACTGTGTCCAGTTCTGTGCCCCTCGGTTCAGGAACGATTTCAAGGTGCTGGAGCAGGTCCAGAGAAGAGCAACGAGGTAAAGGGACTCCAGCACAAGTCCTGTGAGGACAGGGTGAGGAAGCTGGAGTTGTTTAGCCTGGAGAAGAAGAGGCTCAGGGGAGACCTCATCATTCTACAACTACCTGAGAGGAGGTTGTAGCCAGGTGGGGGTCGGTCTCTTCTCCCAGGCAACTAAGAGTAGGACAAGAGAGCACACCAGGGGAAGTTTGGGTTGGATATTAGGAAGAAATTTTTTACAGAGAGAGTAATCAGTCATTGGAATGCGCTGCCCAGCGAGGGGATGTATTCACTGTCCCTGGAGGTTTTTAAGATGAAACTGGATGTGACACTGAGTGCCGTGGCCTAATAACCACAGCAGTGTTGGATCAAGGGTGGGACTTGATGATCTTGGACGTCTTTTCCAACCCAGTTGATTCTATGATTCCATTTTATGATTCTATAAGCATATAGAATGAAAGATACTACTCAATGCCCTCTGTCCTCACTCTCCAATCCATGTCTTATTTACTGCAGATCACTTAAATTGTGCATTGCAGATAGAATTTTTTTGCTTTTTAAAACTATACTTAGCATTCTAGCTATTAAGTACCTTACAGTATGAGTGAATGATGTCATTACAACATCCCAAAAAATATAAAGCTGATTTTATTTAATAAGGGAGGACCTGAGGCATTGAATTTCCTTTCAGAAGGGCTTGTTCATTTTGAGTCTCCACTGGAGATGCCTTTGGCCTGATTTTTCTGTGTACTTACTATTATACAGTTAATATATATCCAAATTATTGTTCCAAACAGAGTTCTCTTTAACTTCAGTTGTAGTTCTGAGCACTCAGCACTTTGGTAAATTGAATACTCGGTATTCTAATTTGAATCTCTAGAAAAATGAGGAACACAATTAATCCTTCTCATATGGAGCCAGCTTGGGTGTGCCTGCACCTGTGGTAGAGACATGCCCTCAGAGCCTCATAAACTAGCAGAAAGGAGGCAGGTGTTATTTACCCTCTTTGGCAGATGGAGATGTAAAAAGAGGTTAACTCTTTTGCACAGAGTCAAAGAGGAAATCTGTGGTAGGACTTGAAAGTGAAGCCAGATCATTCATGTGACCACAGAAATTACTTTACCCATATTTTTTGGATGCATATTAGCCAGTTTGTGTGAGACTACTGTTAGGAGAAGGACAATATTTATTGACCTCCAGATATGTTAAAAGAAAAGTAGTTGAATGTTTGCTTTGGATGAAGTCCAGAGTACACAAAATACTTTGGTATACCGGACAACTTCAAGAGCTAAATTGCAGTTTATTTCCCACATTTGCTTATGTTTTGTTGTGAAAAATAATTCACGGGGTGTTTTTGGTAACATTAACTTGTGTTGGGATATAAGGTCTCCCTGCACAGGCTTCAGCCTTTATTTTAGTTGTGTCTTTAGACTGTATTGACATTGGCATGTGTGGCAGTAGGTGAGAAAGGATCTCTTGATATGACAGAAATGTAGTGCATGCACCAGCATCCTTACTTTGCCAACCAGCCTCCCTGTCCTCTGTGTTGACCTGTTGTTCTACTCTACAAGCTTATTACCATCAATCCTGCTGAGAGTCTCATGCAGAGACACTGCCTGAGAGGGTCTTCTGAGCTCAGAAGGTTAGCTGGAGGATGCAGAACATGTGGATGTAGTCATCTGTGGACTGAGTCAAGTCTAACACAAGCCTGACAGTTCTTGAAAATGTTAAGTTCAACCATTAAGAATATACTGAAAATGTACTAAGCCCTTATATTGCCTGCACAGAATAGTGTTGATTCT